CCTAAATAAATCTTTATTAAAAAAAAAAAAAAAAAAAAAAAAAAAGGAAGGCGGCTGGCGCCGCGGCTCACTAGGCTAATCCTCTGCCTTGCAGCGCCAGCACACCGGGTTCTAGCCCCGGTCGGGGCGCCGGATTCTGTCCCGGTTGCCCCTCTTCCAGGCCAGCTCTCTGCTGTGGCCAGGGAGTGCAGTGGAGGATGGCCCAAGTGCTTGGGCCCTGCACCCCATGGGAGACCAGGAAAAGCACTCGGCTCCTGGCTCCTGCCATCGGATCAGCGCGGTGCGCCGGCCGCAACGCGCCAGCCGCGGCGGCCATTGGAGGGTGAACCAGAGGCAAAGGAAGACCTTTCTCTCTCTCTCTCTCTCTCTCTCACTGTCCACTCTGCCTGACAAAAAAAAAAAAAAAAAAAAAAAAAGACATGCTCCTTAGGGGCTGATAGTGAAGCATGTAGATTAAGCCACCAACATACCTTATCAGCGCACCTGTTCAAGTCTTGGCTGCTCTGTTTCTGATCCAACTTCCTACCAATTTCCCCCAGGGAAGGCAGCGGAAGATGGCCCAAGTACTTGGGCACTTGCTACCCACTGGGGAGACTAAACTGGAGTTTCTGGCTTTGGACTGGCCCAGCCCTCGCTGCTGCAGCTATCTGGAGAGTGAACCAACAGCTGGTATATATATGTCTCTCTCTCCTCTCCTCCCTTCCTTCCCCCCCCCCCTTTCTCCCTCCTCTCTCTCTCTCTCTCTCCCCATTTTCCTGTCATTCTACCTTTCAAATAAATCTTGGGGGTAGGGAGGGAAAAGGAAAAAACTGCTCCCTAAATTTAGCCTGTGGGTCCTCAGGCTCAAAGGCATGGGAGTAAGAGTAGGGGAAAGAAAGGAGGAAATACTGTTTCTTCCTCAGTGCCCTAGACTCACAAAGCCAGGCAAAGGCAACGATTTTGCTTTTAATCACCAGATGAGTATGAAGCAGATTTAAATTTAGAAGAAAAATAAAGAATTACAAGGACATTCAGTAAAGTACAGCCTCTATTTCTTTGCAGAGCAGCTCTCGGCATCTGCCAATGAACCTCGTTTTGACATGGAACGCCCCATCCACTCTAATCCAGGGCATATCCCTCAGAGACAGTCAACCGGAACTCTGCCAACTTCTGCTTGGGAGTTGTGTGAGAACAGTAGCAACAAGAGCCTACTTTGAGAAGGAGATCAACAATCACACTCAAGAAGAAAAGAAGTTATTTGGCAAAGGGATGCATGTTGCCAAAATGTTAGTCACAGCTTCAAGGTCCCAATTTGTGCCTCTGCAACTATTCTTTGCTTTGACAGAGTCCATTCTCTGGCCCAGGAAACCCAGCTCAGCTTCTGTCACCCTCCACATCTGAGGCAGTCAAGAGTCCTTTCAATTTATTGATATCAAACTGCGCCACAGACAAGATGTCCACCATACTAAAAAGGACAGGAAAAAAATGTGCAATTTGCCATTTTCCACTTAAAACTGGCTCAAGCAGAGCAATGGAAAAATGTGACAGGACAGGAAAAATTGAAAATCATTATGTTACAGAAGCAGGCTATACCAAAAACCTGCCCCATAAGTTATTTCAAAACCCTTTTAACAACAAACCAAAGGGGCCGGCGCCGTGGCTCACTTAGTTAATCCTCTGCCTGCGGTGCCAGCATCCCATATGGGTGCCGGGTTCTAGTCCCGGTTGCTCCTCTTCCAGTCCAGCTCTCTGCTGTGGCCCGGGAAGGCAGTGGAGGATGGCCCAAGTACTTGGGCCCTGCACCCACATGGGAGACCAGGAAGAAGCACCTGGCTCCTGGCCTCGGATCGGCGCAGCGCCGGCCACAGCGGCCATCTGTGGGGTGAACCAACGGAAGGAAGACCTTTCTTTCTGTCTCTCTCACTAACTTATCTGTCAAAAAAAAAAAAAAAAAAGGTACACTACAGATTGAAGTACCAGTAGAATATTAGGCAGGTTTTTACTCCCTAACTAACTAACTGCATATACTTTGTAATCTGCAGCTCTTCCTGGGGTTAGTATAAAGACTAACAGTCCTGATTTCTAGAATTAATTCAAAGCAACAGGAAGACACAATCAAGCGCACAAGGTACTCTCCCACAGAGCCCAAGAGGAAAAGTTCAGTAACTCCACCTTCTAAAGAACAGACTCTTCTCCCTTCCCTTCTTACACATAAAAACCCCACGGTTCTCGACACCTTCTACCCTCTCTTGCATTTCACCTTTGTGCTGACATCACGTAACTAATCAGTACCAACAAGGGTAAACACTACTCTTGATATCAAGTGAGGCAGATCAGAAACTGCCCCTTCTTTAGCAAATCCACGTCAGACTGCAGAAATGCCAAGACTTTCAGGAATACTTCTTCTGAGATTAAAAAAAAAAAAGTTCATCTATGGGCAAACTGTTAAGAGTATTATGCCCCAAAAGAAGTTAAGAGTCAGAATTTCAAAGGGTTAATCATAAGGAAGGGGTGGCAACTAGTGCAGCAAGATAAGCCAACACTTCGGATGCACCTGCAACCCCTATTAAAGTGTCAGTTAAGAGTCCCAACAGCTCTACTTCTGATCCAGCTCCCTGACCCAGCCCTGGCTGTTGTGGCCATTTGGGAAATGAACCAGCAGATTGGAAGACTGATCAAGTTCCTCTGGGAAGCACATGATGGCTCAGCAATTGGGTCCCTACCACCTAGGTGGGAGATCCAGATGGAGTTCTGGACTCCTGACTTCGGCCTGGCCCAACCCTGGCTGTTGCCAGCAACTGGGGAAGTGAACTTGTGTGGGAGACCTGAAAGAAGCTCCTGGCTTCAGCCTGACCCAGCCCTGGCTGTTGTGGCCATTTGGGAAATGAACCAGCAGATTGGAAGACTGATCAACTGATCAATCTCTCTCTCTCTCTTCCCCTCTCTGTAACTCTGCCTTTCAATTAACTAAATCTTTAAAAAAAAAAAAATACTCAGGTGGCCAGAAAATAAAACCCTGCCTTCCTTGGTAAGACACCAGAGGATGGCCCGGGTCCTTGGGCCCCTGCACCCTCATGGGAGACCCAGAGGAAGTTCCTGGCTCCTGGCTTTGCATCGGCACAGCTCTGGCCGTTGCCGCCACTTGGGGAGTGAGCCGGGAGACAGATGCCTTCTCTATATATATATATAACTCTCTGCCTTTCAATAAATAAAGAAATCTTTAAAAAAAATTTTAAAAACCCTGCCTTCTACCAAATTTTCCATCAACTCACCTCATTCATTCCCCAACTCTAACTTCCTCATCTTCAGCTTAATGGTAGATTATACAACATAACACAATTATGAAGTTATTTACTGAAAGTTCACATTAATAACAGCTAGAAAATTAAATATGCATCAACTAAAAACCAACTCCTCAAGGCTAGTGTTGTGGCACAGCAAGTAAACCTACTGCCTGCGATGCCAGCATCCCGTTGGGAGTGTCAGTTCATGTCCTGTCTACTCCACTTCCAATCCAGCTCCCTGCTACTGGCCTGGAAAAAGCAGTGAAGATGGCCCAAATGTTTGGACCCCTGCTACCCACATGAGAGACCTGAATGAAACTCCAGGCTCCTAGGGCCAGCACTAGGGTGTGGCGGGTAAAGCCATTGCCCGCAGTGCCAGCATCCCATATGGGTGCCAGTTTGAGCCTCCGTTGCTCCACTTCCAACCCAGCTGAGAAAGCAAGAGAAGTTGACCCAAGTGCTTGGGCCCCTGCATCCATGTGGAAGACCCAGAAGCAGCTCTTGGCTCCTGGCTTTGGATCAGCCCAGTTCTGGCCACTGTGGCCACTTGGAAAGTGAACCAGCAGATGAAAGCTCTGTCTCTTCCTCTCTTTCAAATAAAATAAAATAAATCTTTAAAAAAAAAAAGGGAAACTCCTCCATGGCACACACAAAATAATGCAGCACAGCTTAGCAGAAGAAACTGAGAAACACGCATCTGCACATGGGTACCTCAATCTGGTTCTGGGGAACACTTCTCTGCAACCACTTCAAAGATCTCATTTGGTTAACACAATCTTTTAAAGGCAGGGATGGACCAGACCTATATTTCAAAGGGGGGGGGGGGAGGCGGAGAGTTTAATGATTTGCCTGAAAGTTACTTAGTAAATTTATAGGTGGGCCAGCACAGTCCTGATCCCCTGAGGTTCTCCTCTGGTTTTTAAAGGCAGGGAGGGAAAAAAAAAAAAAAAAGGCAAAAAAAAAATCAGTCATTTAGAAACCAAAACAGTAACGCAAAAATAACAGCACACCAGAAAGTGGGGAGCCCTGGGACAGCCCAAAGCAGATTATGCAAGTCCTTTTAAAAGTATGCATTCCAGGCCACAGCAGCGCCTTCCAGCTTCTCACGCCAATGCTCTCTCGTACGAATCTTCCTTCTGGATCACTCAGCCACACGCGCGCACTCTCCGTCCCCTCACCTCACTCCACCATCAGCCCGCCACTCCGGGCGCTCCATGCCATCGCAACACTCCTCAGCACAACCTTCGATTCAAGGCCGATTGCCGCTCACCCAAGGGCTCCTGATCACGACCCCCTCCGGTGCAAGCGGCTTCTCGAGTCATGCTCCCAAGCTCGGCTGTTCACCCAGTTCAGCGCTCAGAATGTCACACCGACCTCCCTCTCCCACAGCGTCCGGCTCCCGACCCGCTCCCCACCGGTCCCGCTGCGCACGGTTAGCGCGTCCCTCACGCCGCGGCGCCGTCCTACTCACCTCACCCAGCCCTCCAGGATCCCTCACTTCCTGTCTCAAAACCTGCCTCCTCTTCACAGTCCGCCCTCGCCCACACCAGTCCCCGACCACTCCTCCCTCCTGAACATCCCCCACGCCCCCTCTCCTCCGGGCTCTGCGGACCCAGCCCCCCGCCCCCGAGACCCCGCTCCCGCTCAGGCCCCTCCTCCAACGCCCCCCGCTCCCCTCAAACCCCGCCTCCAGGCCCCGTCCCCCGGCGCTCCCTCCCACTCAGGTCCGCAGGTCACCTCAGCGACGGATCCAGCCGTCCTAGCCTCTTTGCAGCCTGGTCGCAGCCGCTCCAGGAGCGAATCCTCTGCCCCCTCCGCTCCGGCTTCGTCCTGTCCCGCTCGCCCCTCGGCAAGCTCTTTCTCACCGCCGCCGCCGCCCCTTTTGCCAACCCGGAAATGGATATGCTCCCACCGTCCCCAGCGTCCGCGAACAAAATGGAGGCGGGGGAAAAAGGAGGAGGGAGCAGTGAGCGAAGAGACACCAGGCGCGTGCGCAGCTATAAAGCCCGCCCCCTTTCGGAGCACGTAAAGGCGGAAGTGGTTGACCTGGCCGCCATCTTGGGAAGGTCGCAAAAATTCCGCTAAGCAGCTAAAAGCCTCGTTTGCAATTTGTCTATAAGCGGGAAAACCTGGAAGGCTTTACCTACCTAGTAGTGCCTGGGTCCCACCCCCCAGAGAGCCTGATTGATTGTTCTGGATGCAGCGTAGGCATCGGGGCTTGTAGACTTGCGGGCGTGATTCTAACGTGTTGCTGAGGGGGAGAGCCCCTGAACTAAAGTCTTTCTTGAATTTACTTCTTTTTCGTGTTTATTCCATGGCACACACACCTCCTCCCCCCCAAATGTCCTTCCCTCATCTCGAATTAACGAAGTACACGCTTCACTCAACCTTGGAAGGGCCCAAGTGGTCAAGCTCCGGTTGTCACAGCAACAGAGGGGCGGGCTCCGGCTAACACCGTTTACGTCATCTGGGCCATCGGACCCGAACCCCGGTGTCTTCTCTCTGGCGGGCCAGAGGTTCCTGGCTTCCATGGCTGGGGGATGGTGATGCAGACTCCAGCTGCTTGGGCCAGGGAGAGGAATCCTGTGCCCTCCGTTGGCGGAGCTGCTCTGAGCTAACGATCTCTCCCCTAGGCACCCACTTTCCTGCGACAGCCAACACCACTGACTTCCAACCTCCACATGCTCCCTCCATTCCTAGCGCTGAATCCAAAGTGCAGGGACGGGGTTGGGATCTGGTTCTCACGACTGACTAGCTGTGTGCCCTCGGGCTTCAACTCCCCTACCTCTAAAATGGGTCTAAAATGCCTGCAGTATCATGGGGGTGTTGGAAGGCTCAAATCAAGTAATGAATGGGGAAACACGTGATATGCCATAAGTGGTTGTTATTTCTATTTTACTTCTGTTCCGCCGTGAGCAGTGCTGGGCACCACCCACTAGTCAAGTAAATGTCACATTGCTTACCTGCTGTGGGCCAGGCACTAGAGGTGTCACCAGGAGAAAGATACAGAAGTGACTCAGAGCCTCTACCCCCAGGAAACTCAGTGTGTGTTGGTGGGCAGATTGGCATGTAAACAGCCAGCTGAGATACAAGTCAGCCTGTGATTCACCCCATGGGGACACACGTGCTGTGGGGTGGCAGACAAGGAAGTGATTAATTCTTGCTACGGAATGAGAGAAGGTTTCATAAATGATGTTGAACTGGGCCTTGAAGGACGAGCGGGATTTTTCTGGTAACTAGAGAAGGCAAGGAACACATTTCGGGCATAGAGACCGGCGCATGCAAAGGTCGCGACGTTCAGGTGTCTGTATCCTGGGTGGCTGCAGGTGGGATGACAGCCAGGGAGGTGGTGATCTAAACTCCTTAATAGAGTCTCCCTGCTCTTCAGCCTCATCTGTCTATTCCCTCACAGGTCACTCAGCTATGTGGACCTGCTTTCCAGCACTGCAGGAGACCAGAGGGGCTGGTGCTGTGGCACGGCAGGTTAAAGCCCTGGCCTGCAGCGCTGGCATCCCATTTGGGTACCGGTGGTTCAAGTCCCAGCTGCTCCACTTCCGATCCATCTCCCTGCTATTGTGCCTGGGAAAGCAGCTGAGGATGGCCCAAGTGCTTGGGCCCCTGCACCTACATGGGAGACCTGGAAGAAGCTCCTGGCTCTTGGCTTTGGCTTTGCCCAGCCCAGGTCATTGTGGCGATTTGGGGAGTGAACCAGTGGATGGAAAACACCTCTCTCTCTCTCTCCACCTATTTGTAACTCTGCCTTTCAAACGAATAAAATAAAAATTAAAAAGAGAGAGAGAGAGAGAGACAGAAGAGTCCCCACGGTAGGGCCTTTATACTGGCTCTGTTCTTCCTCTTCTTCCTTCTTCAGTCTTAGCTCACGTGTCTTCTCCTCAGAGGGTATTCCTTGCCCACAGTCGCTAAAGTAAGCTCGGTGATGGGGACAGCCGCTAGGGTAAATACAGAGACATCTCACCCAGACTTGGCTTCATAAAGAAAGTGACTAAGGGGGCCTGCGCTGGGGCACAGAGGTTAAAGCCCTGACCTAAACCGCCGACAACCCATATGGACACCAGTTCTAGTCCCAGCTGTTCCTCTTCCAATCCAGCTCTCTGCTATGCCCTGGGAAAGCAGTAGAAGATGGCCCAAGTCCTTGTCCCTGTACCCACGTGGGAGACCCAGAAGAAGCTCCTGGCTCCTGGCTTTGGATCAGTGCAGCTCTGGCCGTTGTGGCCATCTGGGGAGTGAAGCAGCAGATGGAAGACCTCTCTCTGTCTGTCTCTACCTCTCTCTGTAACTCTGTCTTTCAAATAAATAAAATAAATCTTAAAAGAAAGAGAGAAAGAAAGAGAGAAAGAGAGAGAGAGAGAGAGAGAGAGAGAGAGAGAGAGAAAGAAAGAAAGAAAGAAAGAAAGAAAGAAAGAAAGAAAGAAAGAAAGAAAATGACTAAGGCAAGCCATCACCCAGTAGGAAGGAAGTGTTCCAGAGAGAGTAAATGCAAAGCAAGAAGAAGCATGACATGTTCCTAGAACTGAAAGCATTTCCGTGTCATTAGAGCTAGAACTTGGGGCAGAGGCGATAAATTCGGTCAAAGAAGTGAGCATAAGGACCTGTCACTCACGTTGACCGTACTAGAGACGGGCATAGGCTCACATGCTGTAACTCATGGAATCCTCACAATGACTTTCTGCAGTAGGTTATTCTCCCGTTTTTTAGATGAACAAACCAAGACACAGCAAGGTGAGCTGTCTTACTCAAAGTGACATACCTACAGAGTAGTGGAAGTGTCTCATATCTGTGTTAGTGACTCCCAAACCCAATGCCCCGTCTTCCTCTCTCTCTCTCTCTCTCTCTCTCTCTCTCTCTCTCTCTCTCTCCCTCTTTCCTCTTTCTCAGATTTATTTATTTATTTGAAAAGCAGAGTACCGACTGGCACCGCGGCTCAATAGACTAATCCTCCGCCTGCAGTGCCGGCACCCCAGTTTCTAGTCCCAGTCGGGGCGCCGGATTCTGTCCCGGTTGCCCCTCTTCCAGGCCACTCTCTGCTGTGGCCAGGGAGTGCAGTGGAGGATGGCCCAGGTGCTTGGGCCCTGCACCCCATGGGAGACCAGGAGAAGCACCTGGCTCCTGCCTTCGGATCAGCGCGGTGTGCCAGCTGCGGCGCGCCGGCAGTAGCGGCCATTGGAGGGTAAACCAATGGAAAAGGAAGACCTTTCTCTCTGTCTCTCTCTCTCACTGTCCACTCTGCCTGTCAAAAAAAAAAAAAAAAAAAATCAGAGTACCAGCGGCTGGCTTGTGGCACAGTGTGTTAAGCTGCTGCCTGTGACACCAACATCCCAAGTGAGCACTAGTTTTAGTCCTGGCTTCTCTGCCTCCCATTCAGCTCCTTGCTAGTAAGCCTGGGAAAACAGTGGAAGAAAACAGTGGAAGTGGGCCCAGGTACTTGGGTCCCTGCCACCCATATGGGAGAGCCAGATAGAGCTGCACACTCCTGGTTTCAGCCTGATCCAGCCCTGTCCATTGTGACACTCTGGGGAATGAACCAGCAGATGGAAGATCTCTCTGTCCCTCCCTCTGTGTGACTTTTTCAAATAAATAATTCTTTTTTAAAAAAATGCACAAAAACGTGAATTATCAGGTGACTATTAAAAAAAAAAACATCATGCTCTAAGTACCAGGTAAAGCTGTCACCTGTGATGTTGGCATCCCATATGGGTGCTGGTTCAAGACCCAGCTGCTCCACTTTCAATCCAGCTCCCTAATAATGTGCCTGCATTAGAAGCGGAGGAAGGCCCAGGTCCTGGGCCCCTGCACCCCTATGGGAGACCCAGAAGCAGCTCCTGACTCCTGGCTTTGCCCTGGCCCAGCCCCAGTGGTTGGAGCCATTTGGGGAGTAAACCAGCAGATGAAAGATCTTTCTCTCCTCCTCCTCCTCCCTCTGTAACTCTGCCTTTCAAGTAAATTAAAAAATAAATATTTAAAAAAAGAAAGGAAAAGAAGAAGGCATTTCAAAATGCAAATTCTGAGGCACCGGTATCCTGGAAGATAGAATAAGGAAGGTGGACTCTTGCATCCAATACATAGAATCACTAAGAATATGACAGGGACAAATGCAGACTGACCTAAAAGTGTTCTATTGGACAACATTGCTATTGGTGTTGTGATTTTCCAAAATGGTATATAACGGGGCCGGTGCTCTGGCATAGTGGATAAAGCCGCCGCCTGCAGTATTGGCATCCCATATGGGCGCTGGTTCGAGTCCCAGCTGTGCTACTTCTGATCCAGCTCTCTGCTGTGGCCTGGGAAATTAGTAGAAGATGGCCCAAGACCTTGGGCCCCTGCATCCATGTGGTAGACCAGAAGAAGCTCCTGGCTCCTGGCTTCAGATCGACACAGCTAAGGCTATTGTGGCCAACTAGGGAGTGAACCAGCAGATGAAAGACCCCCCCCCACCTCTGTGTAACTCTGACTTTCAAATAAATAAATAAATCTTTTAAAACATGGTGTATAATACCAAACAATTTACACCATAGTTGTATTCCTGGAAAAGACAACAGTGCAGAAACACTTTATGTTTCTGCTTTCCTTTATTCAAACTAAGTACCTGGAAGACCATCTCCCTAAAAACAACTGAGAATTCTGGATAGAAGTGTATATATTATATGTGTGTGTGTGTCTGTATATATGGGGGGGGGGCATTCACGTGGAAGTCAGAGTGGCAGAGAGAGACAAAAAGATCTTCCATCTGCTGGTTCACTCCTCAAATGGCCACAACAGTCAGGGCTGAGCCAGGTTGAAGCCAAGAGCCAGGTGCTTAAATTTTAAGTGCTTTGATGAGCAGCTAAAACAAAGACATTTTCATGACAGGGGCCGGCATTGTGGTGCCTA